TACCTGAAGATCAAGCTCTGGGAGGTCTTCTTAGACGACACGTTGATCGCCAACATAACAGAATCGGGTAAATCTTCCATCTGTCCTTAACATATCTTTTTATAGTATCTACTTTGCCTTTAATGATGCACAACAAATAGGCCACATCAATAAGACTCGAGCTTTATTTTGGACTTATAAGGATGCAATTTCTATCTTTATGCTACTTTTTCTCGGTCTAATATGTCTCATTTTACGGAGTTTTAACAAAAAAGTGTCAAATTAATTTAACTTATGAATTATGGATACGAAAATGTGGTTTGATCTCATTTTCGCAACCTGGTCGGAAGGACAGGGAGACCTTGGGCCGCGTATCTGGTTCTGCGTCCTCTGCCATAGTGTTCACTATAATTTCCAGTTTCGGACAGGTGACTTGGTACATTCACAGACGTTTTGCCTGCTGATAAGTTGTAACTCCCTCATCGACGACGTCAGCGAAGAGTCTGGGAATGCACCAAGTCAACGGTTCGAAACAAGAAATCATCATGAATACTGTGGTAGAGGATGCGGAACTAGGTACGCTCTATAAGTTCTACTTGTCGCTCCGATAATTTGCAAAAGCGAGATCAAACCAACATTATACCGCTACAAGAGATGGTATCCAGACTTAAGGCCATACTATCTTGGCCTTCATTTCTATGAATACGAAAGTTCACTGGCTAGCTTATAGCCCTCAGGATAATTTTAGTCAGGTTTATAATTGGCTCAGCTACTGGTAATCCGGATTTAATAGCCACATATTTAGTTAACAGCCAAGATGAATTCTTTATACATGCAACAGTACCTCATTTATTAGTTTTCGCACTTGGATGCATAACATTATAAAGCCGAATGGACATTTTGCGATGACGATTCTCAGATTTGCTTGTATCCTTTACCACTGCATAAGCACCCTCCTTGAAGATCACGGCGTGGTCGCACTTGGGTTTTTAAGGATTCACGGACTCTCATGCCTACCCAAGATCGCATATCAGGGTTAGCCACGGAATTCCCACACTATTCGGCAATGTACGCTCCGCAGTTTTATATGCAGTCGTGAATAGATCCATGAGAGCGTCCGGGTTGGATGACTTAAGGGCGTGCTAACTTTAGTCGATGGGCATTTAAAACATTCCTTAGCTATACTGATGCTTGAGGAAAGCGCCCCTAACTACCAGTTCTTTAAATGGAAAATCCAGTATCCACAATCAGATTTCATTCAACTCTCCTATGCCATGCCTCCCTAGGAAATCCTTCAAAAACCACCATCAGAGCTTACTTTTTCGTTGGGTTCTGCACAAGAGATTCGAGCCATTGGGTCTTCTCGTTCTCCTGAGGTTTTGCCAAGGAGGGCATAAATAGGAATGAGCGTCATTATTTTATTTCTTGTCCCCTTCATTTGGACGGATAGCAGCAGTGGGCTGGCGAAAACTGGCAATATGACTAGTTCTTTAGTTAACATCTTGGTGTCCACAACCGATCAACTCTTTTGTGACCTCTTGCTCACGGACAAATCCGGAAGATGTCATCTCTTGTGGAAGACGCCTTATTTTGATAAAATCCAGGTAACTGGGCGTCCTGTAAGGCAGTATCTGAGCTGCGATAGTCATGTAGATGCTTCCATGAGACTACTGAGGCATCATTAGTGCCTCTATCACATTTGCATTCTGTGAAAGATCTTTAAACTGAGATACTTATCCGAAATCGTTGTTCTGGTTGCATAATTTGATCTTTGCAAGTTAAGCCAATACAGAACTCAACTTATGATCAGCATTATTCGCATTTTGGCGATGCTTTTTAGTTGATCGTCACTAATTATTTGAAGACAATTTTGGCTAATTCTGTGGTCCATATTTAATTCATCTATTTTATTAAACTCCCTTATTTTTTCATTTGCATTCCCTCTTTTCTGTCACCATCACACGTAAATACGTGCATGAACACGCTGATATCCCTGCTTCATTACTCTTACTCCTATTCCTTCTTGCGAGGTATCTTCTTTAAACCTTTTTACTCTTATTCTCCCTCCACTTCACCGTTTGCCCTTTTTTCTTTAACATCTCACTTCCTCTTTAAATTCTATTAAATTTTCTTTCTCCAGTCGACCGGTACAGTCTGATTACGGTTTCCCGATACCCGGAATTACACATTCGCTCGGTGACCAAGGAAGAGCTTGCTCGTTTGTCTGTGCGATGCGTCTTTCAGTCTGTCGTCCCGGACGCCGGAGTCGAGGTGCGCTCAGCACATCGAGAGCGCCTCAATGATAAACTTCTCTCGATTGCATACGAACTAAAAAGTTTTAGCGCTCAAGTCAACGTGATGAGAGTGAGTGCTTTTAATTGGGTCAAGATATAATTAAGAATTAATGTGGTCTCACTTTATCCTCTATATTTGATCCTCACTAATAAAATTGTAACTTCATAACTCTGCCCCGAATGACCTCCACTTCTAAGAAAGGCAAGTGCCAATTCTTGTCCACGTCTGTTGCATATTTGGCTTTTTCATACCTCTCCTTCAAGAAGATGTGAAAATCGTCTAATTTTTCTCTTCAATGCGGCCAGAGTGCGAAGAAGACATCCAAATATCGCATAATTACTGTTGGCTGTTGATGTTACGTTTTAAAATTTTCCTTCAACTTCTTAATGTAGATATTAGCCAATAGAGATGGGATTGGTGATCCCATAGACAGATCTACTATTTCGTAAGTGAGTAGGTCTTCGAACTACCAGTAAATCCGATATATAAGTTGTGTTCGCCCTGGTTTGTTTAAGTTGGTGAAGGACTGGTAGTTGATTTTTACCACAATGAGATGAGTATAGCTGACATTTCCATTGAATTTCACATAGCCTTGCTTTCCCAAAAGGTGTTCTCATGCAGGGTGGACTGCAGTTTCAGCCTCCTCTCAACATCCTCAGCGGGAGTCGAACCATGACAGTGCAGCGTGTAATCTCGAGATGTTAACCACTACGCCACATTTCCCCGAGTGCCCTTGGGTCACAGGGCAGATGTAAATTTCAAGGAATGTCAGGCATTTTCCATATCACATTATGTGTTGGGATATCGTTGTGGGAAAGATCAACTACCAGTCTTTCATCAGCTTAAACGAAATAGGGTGAACACAACTCATAGACCTAATATTTGTTCATAAATACAGACTCCGTCTCCAGGTTGTCGACTTCTCTTTCCAAGATCTCTAGCAATGCCGTGAGCCCTTTTTCTCCTGAAATGTTGTTGCACATGAACTATACAACGAAGCTCACTAATAGTTTGTTTTTCTTCAAGCTGGCACCATTGATTATTTGACAAAATTCGATGAATTCTTTACTGTATTCCATAATCTGCCATTGACTTTCTTTAACTTGAAGCAGATACATTTTTTTCGTTTATGTGTTGTTCCATGTTTGTTGTTCATTATCAATCTCAATTGTTCTTTTTTGGGTACTTTCGGCAACCGTATACTAGTGTGGCTCTTGTATTCCTTCATAGGAATGAATTCATTGTCCATTTGTCAATTTACCCGTTCCTATTCATTTATTACAGTGATTTTAGCTTTTGGGTCTTTTGTTACCAATCGACAAGTTGTAGTGTCCCCGAGAATATTTTCTATTTTCTCTGTATATTCCTTCCTGTCGATCAACACTGGGGTACCTCCTTTTTCGGCTTGCAGAACTCGGATCGTTTCTTTTGAATTCTCTTTATTGCTTCGCTATATTGTTCCTATCCGTGGGTTGTTGATGTTCCAATATTATTGGGATGATTTCTGTTTCCAGCTCTTTAATTCTTTTGGTAACTTCCCAGTGGTATTGATCACCTCCGCTAAAATGTACTTGATTGCCTTTCCTTTACTCCGAAGCGCAAAATTTAATCCTTTTTAGGCTCACCATGGCTTCGGACTCAAGATAAATGGAAGACAGATTCACTTATTTATCTTTTTCTCTTGTCTGGACTGTGAAATTCGTCATTCTACAGTCATCTTAGCCTTTACCGGGTGGTTCGACTTTATGCTATCCAGAGATGCTATATTTATTCAGCTTCTTCTTGTGCCTTTTTTCGTCTACGTTCGAGCTCCTTTTCGGCATTTAGACTGTCATTTTATGTAGTTTTAGCAACTCCTTCTGGATAAGAATCTGACTCAAATCACGTCTGATTCTGAACTTAATATATAAAAGCTTGAATACTTTCCCCCTCTCCCTATCATATGTCTCTAAATGTTGCAGCGGAGCTAGATACATTGGCCTTTTCTGAATGATATTTTCTCATCAAATTGAAAACAACTAGAAGGGATGGCATAACATTTAGAACAGTTAAGAAAGGTCAAGTGACAAATATGACTTACGATTGACTTGCTTGTATTTAATCCATTTCGATATGGATTAACAGATTTAGGATGTCTGTTTACGGAATGGGTTTACCTTGCTGCCCTCTTTACAAAAGAGCTACTTATCTAGGGTCAGTGGGATGTCATGCCAATTTCATGAATCCTACCTTTGACTTAATTTCACATTTTAAAACCGATTGTCATATCCTCTTGCTATGCTTATGATTTCTTTCAGTTTGCTTTTTTTGCAGTTATTTCTAATGCATTTAGTTTAGCTTAAAGATCCCGGATGATGACCCATTCGTAATTGTTGGCGATATACCCTATAATATTTTCCTTTTCTTTGGCAAGCTTTAAGCTAAATAACGCTGGTACCGCGAGATTACAACAAAAGAGGCCAAAAATAATGCGCTCGAAAATTAGAGTTGTCACTTGATTACCTCCCCACATCCCAACTACGTATTATTTTTTTACTATTTTTACTCACATACTAATTTTTTTCGGTCCTTGTGTTTTAACACAAATGTGATTTTCTGCGTTACTCTTCCTCCACTTTTAGTACTTAAATATACCTAAGATAATTACTCTACTTTGAACACTTCCGTATGATTGCTTGATCCATTTAGGGCAATAATATAAAAGTTCATCAGCATAATCAGGCGTGTGTCCGAATTTGTTCAATCGGAGTGATGATTAAAATATATAAAGAGAGGGGTGATAGTGGTCATCAAACCTTGATGGCCGGGAACAGACATTACTCTTTCTGTTCTATTTACTTTATGCTATCATTGCTCGTCTCGTACGAACGTATGAAGGTACATTGCAGATAAGAAGAGTAACTAGGTTTTGATGAATCTCCCGAAATAATATTGTTGGGGAGACTTTTATTTCCTATATAAGCGCATGAAGACAAGATTCATAGGTTGATCTCACTAGAAGAAGACAGCTGATACCCGTTGTACTCCTGCCGTTTGGCGTTAAGATGACGTTCAGGAAGACGCGTTCCAGGGGACATACTCCCTCCATCATACTTACACGTTTTTTTGCATACAACGCAGAAAGATTGCCGATTTTCGGTTATATTCAGTTGAAAATTGGATGTTCTGATCATTAAAGTTGAGGGTAAGTTAGGAAGATATGTTTATAGGAAGCCAACACATGTTGGCTCTTTGCTTAATTTTCTTTCCAACCATAGTTTCAAAACTAGGATTTGCATTTTGAAGTAAATGCTTATTAGAAGCATGAGACCATTTGACTAAAGATTTGGAATGGCCGTAAGATTTCTTCTTGATAAATAATTATCTTTTGGGCCTGCTTGATAATGGATGAGACTATTTACGAATAAAAGTTAGGAGACTATTTAGTCAAAGATAGACAAGCTGAAACCTTTTTTCATGTCCTAATCTCGCTGGCATGTCTTCTTTCTGAAAAGATAGGCGAACTAATGAAAAAGGGGGGGATAAAAACAGTGTTCAGAGAAACTCTTCGGTTATCTTTTAGACAGAAATATGACCCATTATCGGAATCCGGATGCTACAAGATTGTGTGCTCCTGTGGTCAACATTATGTTGGTGGGGCATGTCGGCCTATTCGACAAAGACTAGGGGAACACAAAAACGCGTGTAAAGGCAGCTGAATCCAACATTATGAAATGGCTGAACATGCAGGCCAGAGACTGGATATGAAATGGAATGGTCTAAAACGATTATGGTACGTCTGCTGTTAGACGACAACGATAAGAGGGTCTATTGAAATTAGTGGATTTGGGAATATATTGAACGATGGACGAAAGTTCAGCCTGTTTTCACCCGAAGCCAGGGAGGATGTCTCGGGGACTGCGTCAACCTGAATGTCGTGTTAAAGCCAAACGGCTGTAGTACTACGGAAATCAACCGTCGTTTTCTGGTAAGATCAACCAACGAATCTCGTCTTCATGCACTTTCATACGAAACGAAAGTCTCTCCAGCATGAAGGCACATAAATACACACATATGTATCTTATCAAAGAGCTTAGATATAGATTGTGTATAC